GGCCCCTGCAGTCCAGCAGATTTCTTTACACCAACTCACTCCTCAGCCCCTAAGTTCTCCATCATTCCACTTAATTAAAATTGTTTTTGGTTTTCGTTTGGTTTTTCAAAAACTATCCATGGACTTCTACTTACCAAATAAAGCAAAAACCCCACACTCATCCCTCTCTGGTTTACCACCCACTGTTTCTGAAGTTCTCTCCACCCTGGGGCTCATTCACTACTCTTTCACCTTCTGGTTCCCCCAGACCTTTCTGATTCTTCTTTCCCCAGTTCCCCTCTCCTTCTCCGAGGGACAGAGCTCTCTCTTCAGCCTCTCCTTGTCAGTCCCCTCTCCCAAGTCATTCCTTATTTTTTTTTACAGTGTAAAATTTTTATATTTAGAATCAGGCAGCTGGCCTCAGTTTAGATGATTCCAATTTTGTTGGCAACATCCAAAGCATCGTCGTCAGGAGCCAGTCGAACATATGCCTTCTTCCCGCCATCAGGCCTGATGAGGGTGCTGCCCTTGGCCACGTCAATGTCATAGGGCTTCTTCACAGCCTGCTGGATCTGGTGCTTGTTGGCCTGGACATCCACAATGAACACCAGTGTATTATTATCTTCCATCTTCTTCATGGCTGACTCGGTAGTCAGGGGGAATGTGATGATGGCGTAGTGGGCAAACTTGCTTCTCCTGGGTGCATTCCTCCCCCTGAGTGCATGAATTTTCGTGCACCAGGCCTCCAGTAAAAAAATAAATGATGGTCTTTCACATAGTTCCCACCATGCGGGCACTACATTTTTGACAGCACTTCTTTCATTCTGCCCTGTAATTCTTCCCATGTTTCCCCTGAGCACAGACTGGAAGCCCAGGAGGAAGAGTTTCCCCACAGCATTGGGAAGGAAGGAGGCTTTGCTCCTCATAATACATATGCAGCAGATGGTAGTTGAATTTAAAACATAAAAACACATGGTAAGATTGTAGGTACTCTTAAATTTTAAACAATATTCTGTTATAATGGCTTTGAAGTAAAATTGGAGACGGCCAATCAATTGGCCTTAATCAATCAAGCTTGACTGATTGCCCCCCCCCCCATCCCATTCCAGATTCCTGAAAATTTGGTAAGATGAGCCAGTCACCAAAGCATCACAGTCAGGAGCCAGTCGAACGGATGCCTTCTTCTCGCCAACAGGCCTGATCAGGGTGCTGACCGTGGCCACATCAGTGTCATAGAGCTTCTTCACAGCCTGTTTGACCTGGTGCTTGTTGGCCTTGACATCCACGATGAACACCAGTGTCTTGTTGTCTTCTGTCTGCTTCATGGCTGACTCGGTCGTCAGGGGGAATTTGATGATGGCGTAGTGGTCAAGCTTGTTTCTCCTGGGTGCGCTCCTCCGAGGGTATTTAGGCTGCCTCCGGAGCCTTAGTGTCTTTGGCCGTGGAAAGGTGGGTGACGTGCGGATCTTTTTGTGTGTGTGTGTGGCTGTGGACGCCTTTCAACACTGCTTTCTTTGCCTTCAAAACCTTTGTTTTGGCTTCGGCTTCGGGAGGGGCAGGGCCTTCCTTCTTAGCGTTCGGCGCCATTTTCATAAAAAGGGTTTCCGAGACCCGCTCCCCTGGGCTCATCCCAAGGCATTCCCTCTCACCAAATGTTCGGATTACCCCCAGACTACTTCCCCTCCACACTCGACTCCCACTGACCATCTCCACACTTCCACCCGGCTTGTCCTGCCAACATTTCAAATCCAACCATTCAAAGCAGAAGTCCTTATTTATTAATCACAAAATTATTTGACCGTGCTTCCTACCTTCATTGAGGGTACCCACGTAAGAGTCATCTTCAATTTCTCCCCCTCTCTATTTAACCCCCCCCCGCCCCCGCATTCAGTCACTTTGAATTCAAATATTTTTCCCATCACCTCATTTCCAGCCCCATCCGATTGGACTCTATTACCTATACCAATATGACCATGAGCAATTAATCATTGTAAGCCTCCAATGCCTTCATCTCTAAAATAAAGATTATATTACTTACATTCCAGGATAGTTACAAAAATTAAATAAACAAATTATATAAAACACATATCATTACTAAAAATATTTGCTCTTGATGATGCACTATGATTTCTTTCCATTTTTGTATCAGTTAATCTTAAGGCCTGATTTTTACTCTATCAAATGGCCCCTCTCTAGGTCATGACCATAAATGCTTATTCAGACCAAGAGATACCATAAGATAAACCAAGAGAATTACTATTTTTTTAGGAAAAATAATTAGGAAACTAATGATTACAATTAGTGTGTGAATG